GGTGGAGGGGGGCTGTTGGGTTTTGGAAGGACGGGCCAACCAAAAGAAAACCTTGGTGAGAGATTCAGCCCTGGAAAATGGGATCCTAAAGATTTTTGCCTGGTCCAGATCATCCCTTCTTGGGGTTGGTGCAGCTAAAGTACCAGATGCCTGGCAACAACTGCTGTGGGGAAGCAAATGGCCCTGTTCTATCCCTTTTTCAGCTGCGCTGGGAACATAAGCGTTAGAGCTTCTTAAAGTATAGCATTAATATTTGTATATACTTCATTGAATGTCAGGAACCTATCTAAGGGGCATTAAGTGGTTAATTGGCACAAGGATCTAAATTAGACACCATCAATCTACCCCCAATTTACAGATGACAAAACCCAGCACCAGAGTTAATTAATTGGCCCCAATCTCACAATCGTTAAAGGGAGATGAGATGCAACTCGGGTCTGGATTCAGGCCGTATTCTCAGCTAACCCAGGGTGGATGTTTCAGAGGCTCCTTTCACCTCCCTTTTGAGCTTTAGGTGGTGCTTTGACTGTTAACCCGGGGAGCTCAACGCCCCCGCCGGACAGGGCGGGGAGGTTGCGAACCCGCTCGGGGTTTGCCTTCCGGGCCATCAACACGTAATTTGCGAGGCGACGCGACGCGACGTTCAGAGACCGCGGTCCAGGCCTGCAGTTAACCCGTCCAGTCCACAGCCAGGCCCTGCGACTGTAGGAAACGCGTGGTTATCTTACTCCGTGACTATTTTCTAGAAGCAGCCCCGTTTTTAGCAACACTTGAAGCCCTCCCTAAGGTCTGAAAGGTGCATTTGTATTGCTATAGGTTGGGGGGAAATTAGCTTACCTTTGTGCATTTTCCCCCTATTTAACCTAGTGACATTAGCTCTTCTTGGGAGATGGGGCGGGGGCTCTGAAAAGAGCCTTTGGGTTTCAAAGCGTCTCCGGAAACGGGTGCCTGTCAAATCACTTTCCCTTGGCCTTGTGGTGGCTCTCGGTCTTCTTGGGCAGCAGCACGGCCTGGATGTTGGGCAGGACGCCGCCCTGCGCGATGGTGACCTTGCCCAGCAGCTTGTTGAGCTCCTCGTCGTTGCGGATGGCCAGCTGCAGGTGGCGCGGGATGATGCGCGTCTTCTTGTTGTCGCGGGCCGCGTTGCCCGCCAGCTCCAGGATCTCGGCCGTCAGGTACTCCAGCACGGCCGCCAGGTACACGGGCGCGCCGGCCCCGACCCGCTCCGCGTAGTTGCCCTTGCGCAGCAGGCGGTGCACGCGGCCCACGGGGAACTGCAGCCCGGCCCGCGAGGAGCGCGTCTTGGCCTTGGCGCGCGCCTTGCCGCCCTGCTTTCCGCGTCCAGACAT